TTAAAAGTAGTCGGCTTACATGTCCTTTTTTTTAAAAAAAGTTTTGGACATTTGGTTGCCACTTGAAAAGGTGATAAGATATTCATTTCCTTAGAAACATGATTCTCCAGGAAAATCACTTAAATATAAAATATCTTTACTGAAATATCATTTCCCCTGTTAATTTTATCTTTTCCAAAGTGTGAAGTATAATTACAGATATGTAGCTATGTATTTTAAGGGGTAAAACTTTCACCCTGATCACTAACCATTAAATGAGATTTCAGGGCCGATCCCGTGGCGCACTCGGGAGAGTGCGGCGCTGGGAGTACAGCAGCGCTCCCGCCGCGGGTTCGGATCCTATATAGGGATGACCGGTGCGCTCACAGCACTCACTGGCTGAGCGCGGTGCAGCTGGTCTCAAAAAGAAAAAAAAAAAAAAAAAATGAGATTTCATGTATCAAGTACTTCTTAGCTGCTGATAGAACACACACACAAAATACCAACAAAAACAAGCACTTTTTCATCTCTCTTTTTCTTCCTCTGTCTCCATTACTATTTCCTGCTGATTGGTGAAAAGTCACTCCTTACAGCTGTCGGTCTCCAAGACACTTAGGAGAACTGGGTATATGGTGGTGGAGAGAGTTGGAGGCACAAAGTAAAAGGGCTAATGTTTGTTGAGTGAATTTCATATGTTGAGCAGTTCATGAAGTGATTTTCATGTCTTTTATTGCTTAGAGCTATAAGCTATCTTGCAATATGGATGTGATTATCCACATTTAACATTTGAGAAAACTTGGTGGGTAAGAGATTTGGACAACTTGCCAAAGCTCTCACAACTTAGGAAGGACTGGAGTATAGACATGAACTTTGTCCATTCAATGGAGGTCACTGCTTGGGGAGAATAATACCTACCTCTGGATGGGTGTTATGCTCTTGGTATCTATCAAGATTCTTCTCCTACCACAAATGTCCCTGCTCTGAAGTAACACCAGATAAATGGGCCTTGGTCAAAGAAGTTTTCCTGTGATTAAAATAGATGGCAAGCATAAGGAGTTCTCTGAAGCCAAGTATAATCTATAATGAAGGCCATATTTCCTCCCGACTTCATCAAAGTCTCCAGTCAGAGACAGCAGTGTGCTGTTGTGATCGAGCACAGGACTTGGACTCAAAACATAGGGATAGTCATGGTTTTGCTTCTAAGCTTGTGTGAAACCTTGAGTTTTTTATAGACTTCATATCTTCACTGATAAAATAGTTCTCCTAAATCTACTTTCACAGCACTGGTGAGTTTTTGGAAGAAGATAGTACATGATAAAATCCTTCATATATGTAAAAGACCATATTATGGTATTATTATATTTTAATATTTTGATAAAATATTACCTTAAAACATAAATGTACAGGTTGTACAGGAAATTACTTAAAGGAAAATGCTATTTATTAGTAATCTAACATCCAGGTTTAACACAAATTTCACCAGATTTTAACAAAAGAAACTGCAAGACACTAATCTACCTGTAGATTAAATATAGAACCAAATTAAACATGCTTACACAAAAAGAAAGTTTCGAAAATTAGCTTTATCACTTGCCTTATTGTCCAAAGGGTCAGGTACCTTATATATCCAATGTATACATAAATAATTTTAGTAAATGTTAAATGTTAGTTTTGTACTTGACATGAAATTTAAAACCTCATCTGTGGTTTGTTCTGGGAATGTATCCATCATTTGCAACCTTGTGTCAGGGAAAGACTTTATATTCCAAATGACTGAAATGGAAACAAACTTTTGGAATACAACCTACTGATAATTTGGCCATTGTCTGTAATATAAGCTTTTTATAACGTTGACAATGTTGAGGACCAAACAATAGTTTTTAAGCAAGTATGGGATAGAGAGTTGGTGTTAGATACACGTGAAGTGAAAAGTAGAAAGAATTTAAGAAGAAATAAAAACAGTCCAAATAAACTAGCATTGCAAAAATTGGGCATCTCATATGAATAGTTACAAATAATGTGCATTATGTGAATAAAGATTGAACTTTGAAAAGATAACAAAATAAGAAATATATACATATGCATATGAGGAACCAGAAATAGAAAAAGTAACACATTTGTTTTAAAACTTAGCCAAAGTAGTGAAGAAAAGTTCAAAGAAAATTGCAGAAGTAAAATTTCTAAAATACGTTCTATTTAAAGAAATATTTCTCCCCATTTTTTATCTTAAATGTGTACTTACAGTGCAGTTTACCAAGCTTGGTAGACTTAATTGTAAATTTCAATAAGCTTACAAACAAGCACAGCTAATTTGAAAATGGGAGAAAATTCCCATGGCAATAATTTTGCTTTCTGAATTTGCCCCCCGGGTGACTTTCTTTCATCCTTCCCATTACAGATTTAGGCACAAATAAACCCACTCTCAAAGAAATACTTTAATAAAACAAAACTAACTCGAAGTTACTTTTTTTGTAATTTCACATTTTCATAAGTCAGTTTATTAGATCTATTGTAAATAAATTTATTAGATCTATGGTAAACTTAGAATAAACCTTAAAAATGTATATGTAAACAATTTTTTCTCAACCTATGTAGCAGCCTAGTATGTATCTGGTTACTTACAGAGAAAATATTAATTCTATATGACTTACTTTCACCTTTCCATAGATGCTAGTGGGAAAAAGTTGGGGGTTGAGATGAGACAGATCTCTATACAAATCATAGTCCTACAACTTAACAAGCTTGCAAGTTATTTAACATCTCTAAGGCTCAGGTTCTTCTAATAAAAAATGAGGGAAATAATAGTATCAGAATTATAGTGAGAATTACATAAAATAACTACATATGGAAGAGCCTAGCAGATCCCTGTAATGTTAAGGTTTTATAAAATGGAATTACTGCATTCTATAATTGGCTTTATAAACTAGATTGATGGGTTAGAGAGAGAGCAGATCATACCCAATACAATGAGTTAAAATGACATCTAAATTCTGAATGCTTCCTATATTCCAGAGATTGTGCAAGGTGTCTGATTTACATGGCTAATCTCTTTTAATCCTCATAACTAACTCACAACAATGAGTTAGGTGCTACAGCTTTAACTATTTTAGAGATAAAAACAAACAACAACAAAAAAAAAAACAGAGTTTAGAAAAGTGAATTGGCCCAATATCAAATGATCGGGCACTTTGTAATATCACTTGGACTATTATTCCCAAGGTTCTTATTAACTGGCCTTTAAAAATAGTCATACGAAACACAAATGGAAATGAAGATAATTCAGGAAAGAATGAGAATTTCAAATCTGGCAACAGGAGGGAAAAATAAAAACAAAAACAAAGAAAACCAAAACACCCAGAAGGACCGTACCCTATGTAGTTTCCTAGAAAAGATGTTCTGAGAGTGCTTATCACCTCCCAACTTCAAGCCTCTGTGGTTGCTTGTGCCACTTCTATAAAAATCTGTGATTTTAAAAAGAATGTTCATCTGTATATCAGCTCATCTTTTATATAACCCTATGGAATATTAAAAACAATCTCATGGGCCGGCCCGGTGGCGCACTGCTACAGTGCGCCGCTTGGGAGTGTGGCGGCGCTCCCGCCGAGGGTTCAGATCCCACATAAAGACCGGTTCCCGCTCACTGGCTGAGCGAGGTGTGGGCGCAGCACCGAGGGTTGCGATCCCATTGCCGGTCCCGGTCCGGTACGGGCGCAACACTGAGGGTTGCGATCCGTTGCCGGACACAATAAAAAAGACAAAAAGGAAAAAAAAAAAAAAAAAAAAACAATCTCATCACTATAAAAACCTGAAGACCCACGTTAACTTGGA